AGCAGGTCAAGCACAGAGCGGGTCAGGAGATGGTGTGAGGGGAGGAAGGGAGATAGAGAAGGGATGATGGCCAAGCTGAAAATTCCAAACCTTCCTGTCCTTACCCGCCTTATTTCATTGCTTTGCTTGAGGGCATTTCTGTCCCCTTTCCCATTTGTTCTTTCTGTAGCTGATACTGAGCTGGCCAGATGATGCTGTGGAGCACAGAAAACACTTGTTTTCCTCAAGCACTGTGAGCACAGCTCACCTGCCCAGCTCTGCTGAGCACAGCTGGAGGGCAGGGAAGAGATCAGAGGGGCTGTGCAAGGGACAGAATGCTCCTGGCTGCTCCTGCCCTGCCAGACATGGCTTTGCCATGCCATCCCCACACTGCCTTTGCATTGCAGTGATTCCCTCTGCCTGAATTAACCCACTGAGTGCTGGGGGGGATGGATGTGTCCCCCCAGAGCCCCTGGCCCAGCCATGGGGCTGCCCAGTGCTCGATGGCTGCTGCACAGCACTTGTGGTTTGTAAGCTGGATGTCCTGAATCTTCTTGCCAATCATTAACCTGCTCTTTCAGGGCAAATGCAGCTGGGTGAGGGTGCCAGGGCAGCACGTAGGTACCAATTAAATCTCTGGCAGGATGCAAGCAGTGCACGTTACAGCAATTGCTGGCACTCATGCTCTCAGCAATGCCAGTGTGCTTCCTGCTGCAAACAGAGGGAATGGAGTTAATGGGTGACCACAGCAGGGCAGCCAGTGTGTCCTTTGCAAGGGTCATGTTTGGGAATTTCCTTTTCCTATGGTTTCAGGTGTGTTTACTATGTGCAGTGCTCTCCATTGACAATTTCAGGGCCTCATATGGGGTGGTCTCCAAGTTCTCTTTGTCAGCTCATTCCTTGACTTTGTTACTTATGTGTTAGTTACCCTATTTTTAGAAGACTAATAAACCACTGCACCAGTCATAATCCTGGAGCTGTTCTTGTCCAGAACGATGCAGAAGTGGCTGAACTCACACAGGGAGCATGGAGTCCTCAGTGTAGGTGTCACAGGGGCAGCTCATGGCAGCTGCTCTCCTGATCCCATGCTCTGACAGGAATGGCTTAGTGAGGAGATGACCTGGGAAGATGGCCCCATTTCCACTTGGCAGTAGGTAAGAGGGGAAACATGATTCAAGCTTGACCAGAGTGCTGGTGGGAACATGCCTGCTGTCATGGGAAGTTCCTCCTTGGCTCAGATGCAGGGCCTGTTTCTTCTCCTCTCACTGCACTGGAGGCCTCAGGGCCTGAGCTCACATTTAGATGTCTAAATTACAGCCGATGAGGACACCCTTCCCAGCCAGAATTTGCCAGGATCTTTGTGTAGGTCCTGGCCAAGGGCTGATCTCCCTGTTTCCCATTGTAGTCTGGAGATTGGCACTGAAGAGGGTGATTTACTCATCCCTCCAAACTGCCCTCTGGGGGACTCTTTTCTCTTGGCCAGAAAGGTATTTTGGGGGATCTTCTTTTGGCCAGGCTGAAGGTCTCCTTGTGAATCCTATCCCTCAGAGCTTGCATACAGCACATTCCCCGTGGCTCATCCCTCCACTGGCACTACAGGAGATAATTAGTGCGTGGCTAAGTCATATGTGCTGAGGGTCAGGCAAGACAATGAGGCACATTTTCCCCTGGAGTAAAGAGATGTCAACAGAGTTGCACTGCAGCGAAATGATGGGATCTGTCAGTGACCCTGGCCCTTTCACTGAGCAAACAGCCCGGGGCAGAGCCTTCCTGCAGAAGAATGGCATGGTCTGGCAGCCAGGCACCCTTGTGAATGCACACGTGGGGCTCTCCCAGGGCTGCTGTCCCCAGGAGCCTTCATCCCACACTCCTGGGCCCACAGTAACTCCTTGGAGGCCACTCCTTGGTGTGTCTGTGAAATCAGCCCTCAGGAGAACAAAGTACCTGCCCCTGGGGACAGCAGGGGGAAGAGCACAGCTTGGAAAAGATGGTTTCCAGTGGAGTTTTGGGGTATTTCAGGAGCATTTGGAGATAGTAAAATAGATCAGAACCAGGTCAGGTGAGGACTTGTCCATCTGACATCCTTCAGCTCAGTTCTTCCAGTGCACAGGATTATCCATGTTAACTAAAAGGCCCATGGTTAATGCTGTGAGGCAAAGTATCTCTCTGGCTGTTTCAGTGCTTCTTAGAATGGGGAAATTCTCTTTGCATTTATGCTCCATATGAAAGCTGATCCATATCTCCAACCTTCCTCTCCTTTCCCCTGAGTCTGTCACCAGACCTTATACAGCCCAGTGTGGAGACCAAGAGGGGCCACACCATTGGCCTGGGCTATGAAAAGCAAGAAGAAACTCTTGATTTTTCAAGGGAATCTTCCAGTCCAGGATCATTTCAACCAATTGTGATGGCAAAAATAAGCTCTTTTGACAGTACAAGTCTTGTGCATTAAAACAAAGTAATCCCCTTTGGTTTCACCTTGATGTTGCTATGCTCCAAATGCCAACATCACTCTTTATTCTGCTCACATTCCTCTCCAGTTCCAGGTAAAAGACCAAATGTCTCTCACCCTCTTGTTGGAGCTGAGTCTGTCAAGTGTGGCTCCTTTTGTGCCACTCCCTAACTCACATCTTTGGGACTTACACCCCCTTATCTGTAAAAAATCACATACCTAGGTGATATTCTAATGCAGTAATGGATTTTTCCAGTTGCTCCACCTGGTGAAATGTGCTGTGGACTGAGATTGACATGCAGCTAATTATCATTAGAACATCTGTGCTCTGGCAGCTGAAGGCAGCATGTCCATTGATGCTCTCAGCTCTGCCCTGGCAGAGAGCCCCAGCGTGCTGATGTGCCAGGCTGGTGTTTTCTATGGACTCTGAGTTAGAGCCTTGCTCTTCCAAGCTGCTTTCAGCATGTGCTGCCTGCACTGCAGCCTGGTTTGTGAAACAAATGGTGTATTCTGGCAGAGAGGGTTGAGACAGCTGGGAGAAAGTAATGGCTGGGCTGGGAGCAGGCTTGGAGTTGCATTCTGGAGCCATCTCACTCTTTTGATGAGCATTTTCACACCTTCCTCTATGGAAGGAGTGGGGAACCTGCTCCTGAACAAGGTGCTGCAGCCCAGCAGAGCCCAGGCACCCTTTGTGCCTCCCAGCAAGGTGCAGGAACCAACAGACCCAGGGCAGCAACAGGCACTGGGTGCCTTTACATGTCCTTAAATGCCTCTTTCTTGTGCATTACCTGGCTCCAGAGGCAGCACAGCAGTGAGGGCACCATGCCCAGGGCTGCCACAGGCTGTGCTCAGACACTTGAGAACACTCAGAGAAGGGTGTTGTGCTGGGAGTCGAGGCAGAATCACCCCTCTTATTTAGGCTCCCATGTTGGAATGTGTTACACAAATGGATTGGGGGAGACCTACTGTCAGAGGGATTCAAGAGGTCTTTGCATACTGTCAACATCCATTTAGAAATTGCTCCACATGTGGCCCCAGCTCATGCAATTGAGCCCTTGACCGCATCCTGTAAAACAGGGCAGTGCCTGTTTCCTGGGAGCTCTACCAAGTCGTCTCCAAGTGCTTTTAATTTACTAATATAACTAGTGAGATGTTCCTGCTGTGTCCTTGCGCCGTGCCTCCCAGGAGAACAGCTTGTCAGGGTGTTAAAAAGATGCCAGTGTGCTTCTGTGAAGGGCTTCCTATGGACAATGATTTGCACATCCCATAGAAAAGTCCTTCTCGGATGACACGTGTAACATTGCAGCTATGTCCAAGGCTAATGGTTATTTTCCACATAAATGGAATTATATTTGCCTTCAGCAACATCGGCCACTGGGACCTCCTTCTAAAGCTGGCAGCGCTTCCAAGTCTCTATTAAATAAAGTGACACAGACCTGAGGTAAAAGCTTGGTGTAGAAAGCAAACAGAGATGTTCTTACGAGAAGAGCAGACAGGGTGGGTTTTGATAAGATGGCTAAAATGGAAGAAAATGTAGAAAACCAGAGGGTCTCATGTGGGAGTCCCACTGCGGTCTCATGAGTGGCACTCAGTGTGTGTTGAAGGCTCCTATAGATCCCTGTGAAAATGGGCAACAAAAGGTTTTGCCTGTTAGTCAGAGCCATCCCAGAGAATGAGTCACAGCCAGTGGGAAAGGCGATGCTCCTTCAGCAGTGCCGCAGAGCTCTGCAGCAGAGATCTGCCTCTCCTGTAGGGGCACGGGCTGGGAGGTGACACGGGCTGGGAGGTGGCACAGACTCGGAGGTGACATGGGCTGTGAAGTGGCACAGGCTGTGAAGTGACACGGGCTGTGTAGTGACACGGGTAGTTGTCCCACCCACCCTCTCCTGCTCTTTGGAGGCACATCTGGCTGCTCAGATGAGTGTGTGCAGCTCAGCCACACATGTCTGTATTCCATTGGAGTGTGGATTTGGGGGACACGAGGTGCTTGCCCTTTTTTAGGTTGAGTTGAAGCTGTCAGTGATATGTGCAGGGCAAACCCCAGGGGGTGGATGTGCAGGGTGGTGAGGGGTGAGTCCCCCTGGGTGCTGTGGGTGTTTGTGCTGAGTGTGTGGCACTGCTGAATGCAGCTGGTGGAGCACTGACTGCTCAGCATCCCTGCTGAGGAAGGTGCAGAGCAGGCATCTCCTCTCCACATCTCTGTCTGGCAGGCAGATCCCACTGTCCATCAGTAAATTGGCTTTTTTCCAGTGTGGAAAGCCTGTGCTGGAGTGCTGGGACTCTGGGCCTCAACTCCTCACAAGACTTTCTGTGTGAATGAGAGCAGGTGTCAGACCAAACCACACCACACGCTCAGAGCAGTGGGTTCAGAGGGAGATGTTCACCTAGCAAATCCTGGGAAGGGACTTGTCCAAATCCCATCCAGGCTCCAGTGCCTCTTCAGCAAGCTCAGGCAGCCCATCCTGTCAAGCAGGGGTGACCCTCCAGGCAGCATCCCTGGGCCAGGAATGGTTGTCACTTCATGAGGTTGGTCAGCAATGGAGTAAGAAATGTCTGCTGTACTTTTCAACAGAAAGATTTCCAGACTGCAGTTCAACAAGGTGAAGCTTGAAGATGCTGGGGAGTACAGCTGCGAAGCCGAGAACATTTTAGGGAAAGACACCGCAAAAGGCAGCCTGAATGTGAAAAGTGGTAAGTGAAGAAGCCAGCAAATGTCTCGAGCTGTCTACCATTCCACAGAAAGGTTCTGCACATGGTCTGTCTTGCATTTTGTTTCATGCTTTCAGGATATCGAGTAAAACAATCTTGGGAGATAAGAAAAATGCAGCTTAGCATAAATGTTTATCTTTGTTATCTGTCACTGGCAATGTGGTTAATTTACATTTTAAATAAACTTACAGTCTATGTATTTTTTTAAAAAAAGGGGTAAGGAGGAAAGAAAGCTGGTGGGCTTGATGTTTTCATTTTTTAAAGAATTTCTGAGAAGCAAAACTCACCAGAAGACAAGTAATTAGACCATAGCTTTGTGATGAGTGAAGTTGCTTCTGATTTTCATCCTAGAATGTGTGCTCCATCTCTTAGAGCTCAGCGGATGGAGTCTGAGGTTAGGTGGTTTTATTATTATCTCGGTCATAATAATTATATTGCTTAACACGATGGTTTGGATGCACCCTCCGGCTCAGAAAGTCCCTACAGTGGCTGCCAGAAGCTGGGAGGGCACAGCTGGGAGGGGGTGACTGTATTTCCTAAGCTCTTCCTCCTGCCATTCACAAGGGGCACTGTGGCAGCCTGGGCTGGGAGCTGGGCTCTGCCTCTGGGCTCTGCAGCCCTTTGCTGGGATCCAGGTTTTTGTTCTCATCCCATGTGAGGGAAGGTAGCTTTCTCCTGCTGCTTTCTGGCAGTATTTTCTCTCTCAACCTTGGCGTTTCTGAATCTTTTCTTCCATGAAGCTGCAGCATCACACAGCCTCCCCCTGCCTGCTCAGTCCCAGTGCTGGCAGGGTCTGCAGGAAGGCCACCCTTGCTCACACCTCCCTGCCTTCATCCTCTGCTGGGTTTATTTCCAATTCTGATAGGAAAGGTGCCCCGAGTAAGAAACTGAGGCAGTGCTCTCCTTTTGTCTTTCTTGCCCCACTCTCTGGCTGCCCCACACCACAAAAACTGCTCCTGTGTGATGGGAGCTGCATGTGCAAGCTCCCTTCCCCCTGTGCAGCCATCAGAGCCCTGTCTGCTCCTCTGCTGCCCCTTCCCCAGCACCAGAAACCCTCCCACAGGAGGGGGAGCAGAGATTGAGCAGTGCCAGCTGCAGGGCCCTGACCTGCACACAGGGAAATGCACACAGGGAAATGCACACCTGGTAAATGCACACAGGGAAAGGCAGAGCAGGTAAATGCACACAGGTAAATGCACACAGGGAAATGCACAGCAGGGAAATGCACACAGGGAAATGCACGCAGGGAAATGCACAGCAGGGAAATTCAGACCTGGTAAATGCACGCAGGAAAATGCACACAGGGAAATGAACACAGGGAAATGCACACAGGGAAATGCACACAGGGAAAGGCACAGCAGGGAAATGCACACAGAGAAATGTACACAGGGAAATGCACACCTGGTAAATGCACACCTGGTAAATGCACACAGGGAAATGCACACAGGGAAATGCACACAGAGAAAGCCACACAGGGAAATGCACACAGGGAAAGGCACACCAGGGAAATGCACAGCAGGGAAATGCACACAGGGAAAGGCAGAGCAGGGAAATGCACACAGGGAAATGCAGAGCAGGGAAAGGCACACAGGGAAATGCACAGCAGGGAAATGCACACAGGGAAATGCACACAGGGAAAGGCACACAGGGAAATGCACACAGGGAAATGCACACCTGGTAAATGCACAGCAGGGAAATGCACACAGGGAAATGCACACAGGGAAATGCACACCTGGTAAATGCACACAGGGAAATGCACACAGGGAAATGCACACAGGGAAATGCACTCAGGGAAATGCACACCTGGGAAAGGCACACAGGGAAATGCACACCTGGTAAATGCACACAGGGAAATGCACACAGGGAAATGCACACCTGGTAAATGCACAGCAGGGAAATGCACACCTGGGAAATGCACACCTGGGAAGGGCACACAGGGAAAGGCACAGCAGGGAAATGCACAGAGAGAAAGGCACAGCAGGGAAATGCACACAGGGAAATGCACAGCAGGGAAAAGCACACAGGGAAAGGCACACAGGGAAAGGCACACAGGGAAATGCACACAGGGAAATGCACACAGGGAAATGCACACCTGGTAAATGCACAGCAGGGAAAGGCAGAGCAGGGAAATGCACACAGGGAAATGCACACCTGGTAAATGCACACAGGGAAATGCACACAGGGAAATGCACAGCAGGGAAATGCACACCTGGTAAATGCACAGAGAGAAAGGCACAGCAGGGAAATGCACACAGGGAAATGCACACAGGGAAATGCACAGCAGGGAAAAGCACACAGGGAAAGGCACAGCAGGGAAATGCACACAGGGAAATGCACAGCAGGGAAAAGCACACAGGGAAAGGCACACAGGGAAATGCACACCTGGTAAATGCACAGCAGGGAAATGCACACAGGGAAATGCACACAGGGAAATGCACACCTGGTAAATGCACACAGGGAAATGCACACAGGGAAATGCACACCTGGCCACTGCAGGGCAGGCAGCACCTGCCAGGGTGCTCAGGAAACCACCCTGTGTGGCAAGGACCCTCCCACCAGGGATGGGTTCACTCCTGAGCTGCCCAGAAATTGTTAAGACCTGAAAACCCACGAAAGGCACACAGAGATGTCTCTGTGAATGTGGTGGGTTCCCTGCCTGGATGATCCATGCTCTCAGCTGCCTTCCCCTCTGCCCTTGGCTCACTGCTCAGCTGCAGGCACACCTTGCTGCTCTTTGCAGATCACCTGCCACCACAGCAAGGCCAGTCCAGAGGATGCTGATCCCTGGAGGCTTTTGTGGCCCTGTCCCCCCTGTTTTTCACCTTTTTTCACCACTCTTTTTTCCCCTTTCCCCTGCAGCTACCCAGAGTTAAGCAGCCTTCCCCAGTTTGCAGGCATGTGCTCTCCTGGAGTATTCCTGTCCCCTCACTGCTGGGCCTTCCTGGGGCCTTGCAAGCTTTCCTCCCTTCTTCTGTGACACCTTTCAGTGCAAAACTCCTCAGGGCGCCTGAATCCACACATGTGTTGTCCCCTGGTTCTTCTTCCCCAAGATCCCTAGCACTGATCCTGTTGTGACTCCCATTGCAAAGTGCTCTTTGCTCTATTCCAATACCACTTTTCAGTTTCAGAAAAGCAGCTTTTCAGCCATACACATCTGTTGCAAGTCACCAAATCCACCACATCTTTAGAGAGAGTGGCTGCAGAGCAGAGACCCCTTGGCACTTAGAAAATGCCCCTCAGCCAAACCCTCCCCTCACCCCTCCTCTACAATTCCAGCATTTCCACAAAACTCCCAGCTCAGAAATAAATGCTTTTGCATTGAGAAACTTTGTGAGGGTGTTAATTTCTGAGGAAATGCTTCTGGACTTAGTCAAAATATACTGCAATATATTTCAGATTTTATGACTTTGAAGTAAATTAGATGCTTTCTTAGAAAAATATCCCATTTCCCAGTTCTCATCATTGAATAGTCAAATGTTGATATCACATAGCCATGAGGGCACAGTTGATGTGTGACTATTTCAGGTTCTTTTTTTCTTCAAAAAATTTCTAGGCATCTCCTCAACTGCCCTGTCCCTTATCAAACACTGCAGAGAAAATCAAGTTGTACAAAAAATTCCTTCTGCTTCGAGCTCTTTGTGGTGGTCCCACCCCTGTCTCTGGCAGGGCTGCACCCCCAGCCCAGGCTCCTGGGGCTTCCTCCTTTGTGCATCCAGAGGCTGTGAGGGACCTCTCCAAAGGTGCTGGTGCTGCCAGCAGGGTTGAGTAGAGCATTCTGTGGGCATTGGGGTTCCCAGTATCCTGGTTCAAAAATAGGAAATCAGTCCCTGTGCTTGTCTCCCCTAATCCTGGGGACCTTCCTTCATCTGTTTCCTGTTCCTCCAGCTCTGGTCCAAGCATTAATTTGTGCTGCAGAACTTCACCTGGGATGGAGGCTCTTCAGAAAATCCCACCTTTTCCTAAACTCCACATTTTCCCCACTGCCACATCCTGCCATCCCATCTTTGCACTCTTGTGGCCATCAGGGCTAAGAAAACCTCCCACATTTCTGCTCATCTCCTGCCAGCTGAGCCCTGAGCCATCTCTGCCTCTTTATGGTGACACGAGGCCCTTCAGAGCGAGGGGACATCGTGCCCTGTGCCATCCCCTGCAGGGACACTCCTTGTCCTGCCTCTGTCACCCCAATGCCCTGCCCTAAAGCAGCACTGACACCTTGGCAGCCCCCAGCCTGTGCCCCCAGCAGCACCTGCCCCTTGCTCCTCCCCACAGTAGCTAAGCCCACCCTGCTCTGCTCAAAAGAGATTATTTTGTTCACTACTTTCTTACCTTAATTTCCCCAGGAACAACGAAAGCACCACAAGTCTTACCAGCCTCAGAAACTAAAATAGTTGTTATGGAAGAAGAGTGTAAGTACCTCTCCCCCACCCCCCCATACAGCTGCTTTCCCCTGATTTGTTTGCTATTATGAGACATTTTGCATAAATGCTTTATTGCCTCCTGGAATCTTCTTTAATCACTCCTTCTGTCTGATTTTTCCCAAAGCCACTGGTCTTTCTTTCCCTAGATCTTTTAAAAAAATCTGATTTATATTGCTGGTGTCTATCTTGGAGAGGGAGAATTTGATAACTATTGCAATGGCAGCTTGAAGGACATGATACTTAAAATTGCAACTGAAGTTCAAGCACTCCCAGCTCTTTCAGTACATGGAGTTATTGGTACTTGCAAGATGTGCTTGTTATGGCCTTTGATTTAGCAGGGTTTTCTTTTATAATTTTGTTTTTGTGTTTGGGGTTTTTTTGAGGATAGTTGATCAAACCAAAACAGGCTGTAGGAAGTACAAGAAAAAAGACATGAGTCTTCTAAGCACAGGTAATAAGAAAATTGCAGAAAATCCATCCATGCCCTGCCATCCCATTTTTTCTGAGTGTCCAGAAAGCAAGAACAGATTTCCCCAAATTCTTAATTTGATTTATTGTGGCTGA